GGAGGGATTTGGGCGTAGTGGGATGTTAGTCTTTAGTATAGAAAAGGTATAGCTGTACCCTGGAGCATAAGAATTATGAGGAAGTAAAACCCTGATACTAATGGAACAATGGTTAAACTGCTCGGTATAGAAAGGGGCATGCTGTAAAATAAAGTGAGACACTTCTTCTTGAAAAAGCAAAAAAAAAAAAATGCAATGTGATACCCTGGATTGGATCCTAGAATAAGAAGAGGACATTCGTGGAAAGCCTAGTTAAATCTATATAAAGTCTAGAGTTCAGTTAATAGTAAGGTACTAATGTCAGTTTCTTGGTTTTGACAAATATGCCATGGTAATGTAAGACATCCACAACTGGGAAACTAGGTAAGGGGCATACTGAAACTCTGTACTATCTTTGCAACTTTTCTATAAATCTAAAATTATTTAAAGCTTAAAAATTTATTCAAAAATTTAAAAATAAAGGTAGGGTCTCCAAATTTACAGACTCAACAGTGACATAGTTTCTGAAATAAAAATTGTGTCACAAAGACAACAGTGCCAAGAGGACAGCCAGCAGAGTACGATATATAAAATTTGGACTACCCCACAAATTTCAAACTCCTGGAATTAAGATTCAGAACAGCCCTTGTGGGCAGGCAATTTCATGATTTAGATTTAAAACAGAATCAGTTCCGATAGTGAAGAACATTACCATAAAATCATTATCACAGAAGTAGAAAATAGGTCTTGTCAGATCATGCTGAGAAAAAATACACTATTGACACATGAGATCTTTGTCTCCCTTCCTATTTTCAGACCTGCCCACTCACCTGGTCCTGATGCCCCCTCTCACTGGCAGATACTTCTGACTATCGCTTAGCATAGCCTTTCTCAAACTTTTTGGTTTCAGGAGCTTTTACATTCTTAAAAAAATTTGAGGAATCCAAGGGGCTTTCCTTTATGGGGGTTATATCTATGAATATTTATGTATTAGAAATGAAAATGGAGAAAATTAAAAATATTTATTAATCCATTTAAATATAACAATAACATACAACAACAGTTTTCAAAACAAAATAAAACAAAATCAGTGAGAAGAGTGGCACTATTTTACATTGAAAACTTGGATTAATACATCATCACTAACATTTCAGAAATTTATATGGTTAAAATTGTTTCCATAAAATGTTTGATAGACAAATGTTGGCTCATTTTTCAAACATATAATAGCTACAATCTACAGTTGAGTAAGCATACAGTTTATTCATAGCAAAAAGTTATTACAGATGTTTAAGAATATTGTTTAACATCTTAGAAATTATATAGTAAATACTAGATTTCCCATTTGATAAACATATATGTCATACCAAATAAACTAATATCCCTTTTTAAAAAAATGTAGTAAGCTAGAAGTTCATGAGAATGTTGTTTATTCTCAGACAAATCTTTCTTAATAAACTTATGAATAAGAAAAAAATTAAGGATAGTTTAAGGGACCTCTGGGACAACATCAGGCATCATAAGGGTAGGAAGAGAGAGCGAGCAAGGGATTGAGAAACTATTTGAAGAAACAACTGAAAACTTCCCTAACCTGGCAAAGGAAATAGACAAAGAAGCCCAGGAAGCTCAGAGAGTCCCAAACAACATGAACCCAAAGAGGCCCACACCAAGACACATCATCATTAAAACGCCAAAGGTTACATACAAAGCAGCAAGAGAAAGGCAGTTAGTTTAAGTTACCGACAATGGAGCGCCAACAAGACTGTCAGCTGAATTATCAACAGAAAGAATGTAAGCAAGAAGGGATTGTCATGAAATATTCAAAATGATGAAAGGCTAGGACCTACAACCAAGACTACTCAATCCAAAAAGGCTGAGATTTAAAATTAAAAGAGAAATAAAGAGCTTCCCAGACAATATAAAGCTAAAAGAATTTATCACCACCAAACCAGTATTATAAGAAACATTAAAGGGACTTCTTTAAGCAAAAATAAAAAGTAAAAAAACAATCAAAGATCAAAAATATGAATAATAGGGGCAGCCGGTTGGCTCAGGTGGTTAGAGCACAGGGAGCAGTGCTCATAACACCAGGGTTGCCGGTTCAATTCCCACATGGGCCACTGAGCTGCGTCCTCCACAACTACATTGAAACAACTACTTGACTTGGAGCTGATGGGTCCTGGAAGAACACATTGTTCCCGAATAAAATAAAATAAAAATATGAAAAAATTGCAATATCTATGCACCTATTAATAATCACATTAAATGTCAATGAATTAAATGCTCCAATCAAGACATAGAGTAGCTGAATGAAAAAAAAAAACAGGACCCATGCATATGCTGTCTACAAGAGACATAGTTCAGATTAAAAAAATTGTTAAATAAATGTGAGAAAACTATCTCTAAATCAATTCTTACTGCAAAAAGAAACTCCTAGTGTCTTTTATAACCTTGAGTACTGCACAAACATTTGTGAGTAGAAGTAACTTGTATATGAGAGACTTTTATGTTTTTACTAAGAGACTTATTCCTTCCTAAAAAAAAAAATGAATGTGCAATATGCAACTTTTTTTGTTGTTATTTCAACATGTCACTTGGAAAATAAAATAAAATAAATAAACTTTTTTAAAAAATAAAATATTTAAAATAAGAGAAAAAACATTTACTTTAGATAACCAAAAAAAAAAGACACATGTAGACTTAAAGTAAAAGGATGGGAAAAAAATATTATGTGCAAATGGAAACAAAAAAAAGTACCCATCCTCCTGGATTTACTTGTATCCCATTGTCCACTCCATTTTAGTCTCTTTTGCGGCTTCTCCTCCTTCTTAGCCTCTAAATATTGAGGGCCTCAGGGCTTGGCACTAGTCCCCCTTCTCTTCTCTGTATGGAACATTCTCCATAGGTGAGTAGGGAAGCACCAGATTCCACTGGGCCAAATCCCACTCCATGGTTGTCAGCCCTCACACAGCAGCTGGTACATATGCTGTGGTCGTGGCCAATCCTCACAGCCAGTCAGCCTGGCTCATCCAATTATATGGTTCTTATATTGTCTATTAACTAATGACTCCTAAATTATATCTTTACATTTTTTTCTCTAACATACCAAAGTAATCAGTTTAGTTCTATCTTATATTTAAACATATTAAAAGTTACAAAGGGCCAGCTGAGTGACTCAGTTAGTTAAGTGTTTGCTTAAGAGCACAAGCTCTGAGCAACACGGTCGTTGGTTTGATTACCACATGGGCCAGTGATGCTGCGCCTGAGCTGAGCTGCTGCTGAGCTGCCAACAGGTGACAGGATGGCTCCGTTGGTGAAAGCACGTGCTCCTAATGACAAGACTGCCTGTTTGATGGTGGGCTATGTCCATCCGTGGCTGGAACTGAACTCCGCACCTTGAGCTGAGCTGCTGTCCGGATGGCTCAGTGGATAGAGCATGCGCTCTTAACAGCAAGGTTGCTGGTTCGACTCCAACATGGAAAAAAAAAAGTTACAAAGCCCAGGATAAGTAAGCAACAAGTCAATAAAATCACAACTTAGTATTCTAACATTTTTACATGGTGTCATTGACTGTGAAATGTAAAAATACTATAACTGTTTAAGTGGAATGATCTCCAAAAATTACACCAGTGCAACCAAACAAATGATGGCATACTATGGAATACTACAGACCATGAGTAAGTACAAAAAGCTGTTCTGTAGGACTTGAAAAATCAATTTACTTATCATTTTTTTTGGGTGGGAGGGAGTATGGATTAGCAAACTCTACATGTAGATTAAAAAAATCTAATTAAAATAACAAGACTATTTTAGATGTTTATTCGATATTGGAAAGGTGGTCAACTATCATAAAGTATTTCTCTTTACCACAAAAATTCCATACATTAAGGATTTATATAATCTAAGGGGGGGGGGGAATCTAGAAACATGTTTTTACCTGAGCAAGCAATCTAAAAAGGCTCTCTTAAATCTTTCATTTTCACAGTTCAAGGTTTACTTAGTGTTTAGTTGGTGTGACACTTGGATAGTTGGCTGCATTATTTATATGTAGACTTTTTTTACATTACTTACACTACTCTGATATACATAGTAGACAAAATAAGATCCTTTGGACAGTTATGCACAAGACATGCAAATGTTGGATTGATACACTGGATCCCAGGATGTGATTGGAGAAAAAAAGTTGAACTGGGCATATAGGGTAAAGGAACCTGAAGCTACATAACACAGTAAATACACATCCTATTTGAAGGGGAACTGTAGCATGTGCAACATTGGCAGTGGTGCTGCCTTTGAGGAGATAGAACTATTGGGCTGTCGGAAATGTCATGACGTATTTTTCTATATTTTTCATTACAAAAATGCGTCATGACTTTTCCGATAACCCAATATTTCACACTAACAAATTTAGGACTACACAAGATAAGTACTATCTAGCATCAGGGTATTGCTGCAGGGCTTTATGAAACATTCCTATTTCTAACTTTATGAAATTAAAGTTTTTCCTAGGCTGTCTTAATATTATGGCTTTAGTCATAAATCAGATAGAAAGGACAATATACACAACCTCCACTTAAAATCCTGTTGTACCTTAGAGAGTGAAATGGTACAACATTAGAGGACTTTACAACTGCAGCTGTTTTTGGATCGTCCAAAGTTTATCAGCACTCTTCTTCAAACAGTCCTCTTCCTCGGGCATCAGTGCCACATTGATTACATCTGAGATTCCATTCTGTCCCAGGATGCAAGGAACACTGAGGAAGACGTCATCTTTTATTCCATAGAAACCCTTAATCATGGTGGAAACTGGATGCACCCGCCTAAGGTTCTTCATTATACTTTCTGCTAAATCTGCCACAGATAGTCCAATGGCCCAGGGTGTGTTGTAGCCATTCGGTTTGATCACCTCAGAAGCACTGTCAATCGCCTCTCTGTGAATTTCTTTCCACTGTTCTTTATCTGCATCAGTGCCTAAATCAGGGTGCAGATTCTTCAGCAAGACACCAGCAACATTCACTCCACTCCATACAGGCACACTAGAGTCTCCATGCTCCCCAAGGACCCATCCATGACAGCTTAATGGGTGAACTCCCAGCCTCTCACCCACTAGGTAACGGAAGCGGGCTGAATCCAGATTACAACCAATTCCAATTACACGGTTTTGGGGAAAGCCGCTTAGCTTCCAAGCCACGTAGGTCAAGATATCCACTGGATTTGAAACAATAAGTAATTTGCAGCTGGGGCTGTATTCTACAACATTAGCAATGATAAATTTAAAGATGTTCACATTTTGCTGTAAAAAATTAAGAAGGCTTTCTCCCTCTTGTTGACATGCCCCAGCTGTGATAATAACAAGCTTGGAGTTTGCAGTCACACTATAGTCAGTGCCGGAGACAATTTTTGGTGTTCTAAGGAAAAGGCTGCAATGTTGGAGAGTCATCACCTCTCCTTTCAATCTGTCTTCCACGACATCAAAAAGAGCAAGTTCATCTGCTAAGTCCTTCAATACGATACTGATGGCACAGGCCATGCCAACAGCATCAACCCCAATCACTGTAATCTTATTCTGGGGGGTTTGTTCTTCCTTAAGAATATTCACAATCAGCTGATCCTTCACAGTTGCCATACTGGACTTAGAACCGAAAGGAACCGGGAGTGCATGGCACCTGGGTGAGTATCGGTAGCGCACAGCCCTGGATCCGGACTTGGCGGCAGCTGTTCTGGCACCTCCGACATCTTGAGTAGAGGCATTATACTCATCAATGAAATGCCTGAGTTCTTCAAGATACTGCTCACCTCTTTCTCGTAAATTCTGTCTCAGTGCAAACTGTACAGACTTTTCTAAGGAAGGATCTTTATCAATCAGCATTTTCACAGTCACTGCAAAACTTTCACAGTCCTTTTGGAAAGCCTGTTGAATCGCTTTGACTTTTGATGCTACTGCTTTAGTGCGACTGTTTAGCTGACTGTCTTCAAGGAATTCTATGCCATCTGTTGCATTTGACTCAGGTTCTGGCTGGTCAGTTAAGTTACATTCATTTGTCTTCTGTAGCTCTTCAGCAGCCCACTTCCTTGCAGCCTCAGTAAGTTCCTTTTCAGTTAACCTACTGAGATTTTGTATCACCTCTGATATAGGAACTGATGAATCATTTGAGGGTGATGTGCCTCTTAATGCTTTCAAAGATTGAACACGTCTCTCTTGACTTGTATGTTGAGACCGACGGGAAGAGCAAGTTCTTCTCTCTGAAGAGTAGCGACTACTGTAGCTGGAGCTAGAACTGCTGGATGGAGAATCCTTTCCGCCTACAGGTGAGTGTCTGCCTAAAGGCATTTTGCTTTTACGAGGAGACCGGTCTCTCACATTATAGGAAAGCTCAACACTTCTTCTAGAGTCATCTCTCATGTCCCCATGTTCAGGCTGGCTGCATGTAGAATGATCGTCCCTTGTCCACTTACGGCCAGATTCATCTCCTCTGTGAGGTGGACTGCTTCTTCCATCATGAGAAAAGCTGCAACTCTCATGTGCTTGGTAATCAACAGAACTGCAATATGTAGTGTTGCTTCCTTCACCAGGTTTGTCCAGCAGTGGTGGCCGAATATTAACTGTTTTATGGCCGCCATCACTGGGATGACTTCCATGAGGTACTTGCTCTCTTGGAAGCCTTTCATAGTCATATCGTCCCTTATACATTTCATTTCTTCTGTAAGCCAATCTTGGCCGGTTACCAGTGACGACGGAGATGGGAAGCATGGTAGTTTTGGCTGGCTACCAGTTTGCTAAGAGAATTAGTCCCAGCGGTCCCCTCACAGACACGGAGTCAGTCAGGCCTAATGGTTGAACTGCACTTCTGTCACTCTAGAAGGTGTCAGCTTTAGTCTGGATTGATTGTGCAGTCTCTGGGATAGGCTCTGGGTTCCAGGCTACCAGCACACACGCTCCCGTGGAGTAGTCAGAGGTTTCGGCTGTGTGTCTAACTCTGGATGACGGAGAGACCCCCGGCAAATATGGCGACTCGCTCGTCGTCGTCGTCTCTCTCCAGGCCGAAATTACAGTGCGCGCAAAGATTACGTCACCAACAGCGCCCTCCTCTGGCCCCGCCCCCAGGGACTGAGTCTAACAGGAGCCGAGAAGGTCCAAAACTACTGCTACCTTTTCAGCTGCGGCACCTGACCTCTCCCAGTACCTGTGATGCCAAGGTTGCTGAGAGGGGCGAAGAATAGTCGGGGTTAAGCCCCATCTGAACCAAATTGTATCTTTAGACTTCACGTGTGCTCCAGGTTGCGGTTTTGTACATCCAATTGCCTCTTTGCATGTCTATTAGAAAACTAATACTTTCTTATGTCCAAAATAAAACTTTTTATTTCTATCTTGCCCCAAATCTTGCTTCTCTCTTAGTTTTTCCTAACTCAGCTAATAACATCACTATCTACCCAGTGGCTCAAGCTAAAAACCCTAGATTCCCCTCTTTCCCTTTCTTATCCATCAGCAATTTCTATTGGATTCTACCTCCAAAACTCATGCTGAATCCATCCATTGCTATTCACCGCCATTGTTATACCCTAATGAAAGCCGCCACTATCTGTCATTTGGACTACCTAGTAACTAGTCTTCCACTTCTATTCTTCCTCCCTACACAGCAGCAGTTTTTTTTTAATGCACATCAGATTATGTTACTAACCTGCTTAATATCCTCCAATAGTATTACTCCGCATTTAGAATAAAACTCAAACTCCTTATCATGGCCTATAAGACCCTATATGGTCTGACCACTGTTTACCTCTCTCACTTAAGCTGGTATCACTCTTGCCTTGCTCATTGTGTAACAGCCACACTGGCTCTTTTGTTCCTATAAAACACTAAACTTGTCCCTGATTTACTACTTTTGATTTTGGTGTACCCTTTGCCTAAAAGACTCTTCCCCTTTCATGGCTCTGTTTTTGTAAATAAAGTCTTATTGTAACATAGCCATGACCATTTGTTTACTAATTACCATGGTTGCTTTTGCATTAGAATGGCAGAACTGAGTAGTTGAGACAGATATCATATGACCCACAAGCCCTTTAAGCAAGTTTGCCAAACCAGCTGGATCTTTGCATGGCTGTCTCCTTATTTAGGTTTTGTGCTAATATCACTCCCTCAGAGAGACATGCCCTTTCTCCCACCACAGTCACTCTTTCACATTATTCCTCTTCATTACTTCACAACACATCTCTAAAATTATCTTATTTGTTTGATTGGTTATTGCCTGTTCACTCTACTGGACGATAAGTTTCTCTGTCATAGTCCCTAGTGTGTCCCTATGTCCTAGCACTGTACCTGGCATACCATAGGTCTTCAATAAATATATTTTAGATAAATTAATACATGAATGTAGGTGAGACATCAGGTTTTTATAAAACAATTGTTCGTTAGGACTCCATATACATATATTGCCATAGAGTTTATTTAGATCTAGTTGATGAGCAAGTGTGTGCCAGGAAAAGAAAAACCTCTTAAAAAATGGTACATGAGCATTAAAAGATGGATGCAGAATCACTGTGGAGTAAAACCAACTTCAAATTAATTTATAATTAATTAATTGAATCCTGTGAGAGCAAATATTTTAAGATATTTTTTTGGAACAATGGTTAAAGGAATCAAGCAGAAAGTTTCCAAAAATTGCTTAGCTACTCCTTTCATTAGTCTGGAAAATGATGTGAACATTACCTTGTTGAATTCATTTTAATCAGCAGATGGAAGGAAGTGGAAGGAGGTAAATGTTGAGGTAAAAGGATGTTGAAAGGGCCAGCTGAGTGGCTCAGTTGGTTAAGAGCTCGCTCAAGAGTTTGAGCTCTGAGCAACAGCGGTTCGAGTCCAGCCTGAGCTGAGCAGCCACTGAGCTGCCAACAGGTAGCAGGATGGCTCAGCTAAAAAAAAAAAAAAAAAAGGATGTTGAAAAATGACCCTTTATTTATTTAAAGATTTTATTGGGGAATTGGGGGAGGGGAACAGTGTTGGGGACTCGGGGAAGGGGAACAGACAGTTGCTGTCATTTTCTTCTTTAGTCTAGTTGTGGAGGATGTTGCTTCACTGGCCCAAGTTGGTGTTATCATTGGGCTCTTCTGGGGTGAGGCAGTCGCTTGCTGGCCATTTGATGGCCACTCACAATGGCTCACGGCAGCTCATGAAAACTCACGCCAACTTCTGGCCAGCCCCACTGCAGCTTACATTGTTGCCGGTGAATCACGGCAACCCAGCTCCAGGTTGAGCTGTTGTTTACCATCTTAGTTGTAGAGGGCGCAGCATCACTGGCCCTCATGTGGGACCCGAACCAGGGCTCTGCTGCTCAGAGCTGGTGTCCCAAGCCAACTCCTAAACAATGTCCCACTAGGCCGGCCCGAAAAATGACCCTTTTAATAGATTTGCAAACTTGGCTTCATTTATGTCATATCTGCACTTTTTCAGCAATTATTGTTGCTGCTGTCTTTCTTTTGAGTGATATACATTCTTAAGCACTCTCCCACCCCCCAAAAAGCCCTCATTCTCCTGTGCAGTCCTACAGATTCTCAATTTGTCTTTGAGCTCCCTCTGCTGGCAACAAGAAGACTGCAGAGTTGGTTTCTTCTGGATTTGATAACATAGAGTATACAGGATGAAAATAACAACATTGAAAGAGCAACCTTTTCTCCCTTTCAGTTAGAGAAAATTAAATGGTGTCTTGATTTATACATTTTAGTGAAATCAGCAATCGTGGCATTTATCAGGCACAATCTGAATGACTGATCCAATCAAAATTCATGTTAACAATGGAGCAATGTGGTTACTCTTTCATCCTAAATATTGGATCTGTGCAAAAATCCATGTAGCATGTGCAGATCCTCTTGGTTTCTGATTTAGATATGATGAGATATGTACATGTGAGTTTTCAAAGCAACAAAAAGATAGGTGATGCATTTAGTGCATATCCCCTTACACCTTTTCTTTTAGACTCTTTTAGAAGTGAGTTTGAAGGTATTGATATTTACCATATTTGAGAAAACTTATGGTATGATTTTTTTTCTAATAACTAGATGTTCACTAGAAAACATTGATCAAGGATTTATTTCCCAGATAAATTTAGGTAGCGTTTATTTGAAGGGGAGGATGAGAGTTACAAGTTCCCCCACATATAACTTTAATAGCCATAGGCATGCTCCTCTTTGTCCTGAACTGTAACTAAACTGGCTGTATAACCTTGGGAAAGGAGCTTAACTTTTGTGGATTTATTTCATTAAGTACAGAATGAAGAAATGATAACTCTGAGACTGGTTACCATTCTCTAATAAGGCCATGTCTAATGAGCTGATGACTTGGTGTCAATTAATATAGCGAGGGTGCCAAAAAAATGTATACACATGACTTGTATTCATCTTTTTGTTATTGTTATATATTGAGTATTACAATTTTAATACAGTTTTTTCCTTTCTTAAAATGTGTATACTTTTTTTGGCAACTTCTGTATGATCCACATAAAGGCTTTTCCAATGAATGTCGTCTAGTAAAGATTTATCTGAACATTTAAACTTCTTTATTTTATATCTACAACTTGGATGTTTTATGTTTTTTAATGTAAAAGAAATATGCCAACAATAACTTTTATGGAAAATTGCACATCATTAGCAGTA